GACGGGACGAGACCTGTTTTCCACTCTCCCTGCTTCCAGGCACAGGGCTTCTCAGCCCTTGCCGCTCAGAAGCTGGAGAATCCTCTCTGCTCTGCTGACCTTGCCCCTTTCTTTGGGAGGCTTGGATAGGTGGACATTTCGCTTCAGCCTGGAGTGGTTAAGCAGCTGACCCCAGTTCACAATCCGGCAGCAGAGTAATCCTTGCGTTAAGATGCCTTCCTTAATCCGCCTAGGAAGCAGCTCTCTTGACCTCATTGCCACTTCAGAGGGCCTTTCAGCTCTTCTGAGGTGCCTAGACAACTGGGGCTGGAGGGGGCTGGAAGGGCTCCGTCTCTGCCCTCCCTCTCAAGCTGGCCAGTGCGCCCGCCCAGGGCTCCTTCTCAGGAAAGAACAGCCTGCAGCTGGCAGCTCTTGGCTCAGCAGCAGCCCAAAATGTGGGAGGGGCTTGGGCTCTGTCCCTCCACCCCTCCCATCCTCCTCCAGTAGCACAGGCCTGCAGACAAGGAAGTGGCGCTGGCACCAGCAGCCCAGGTTTCCCTTCCCACCTGAGACCTGCTGTTGGGGCCAAAGGCCCAGGTGGAGCCTGGCCCCTCCCTGTTCTGAAAGCGCTGGGTTGGGGCTTGGGCCAGGAGTTCTTGGTCAAAGGCACTGAGGTTGGTTCAGGACTGGGGGATGCCCTGCCCGGCTTGGTTCAGGGTTGGGCCCTTCTTAGCCGGCTAATCAACCCTAGATTCGCGCTGGTCTGAGGAAAGGGCTTAGCTGAGTTTCTGCTTGGGAGACAAGCAGAAACTCAGCTAAACCCTGAAGAGCCCTTCAGGAGGCCACCGGAACAGCCGGAAGGACCTGAAGCAGAGAGTGCTCCAGAGCATAAGCCGACTGCGCTTGCCTTTGTCTTAAAGCTATCTTTAAGCTGCGCTGGGCAGGGGGCCAGCAACCGCTGGGCGTCTCGGAAGGGGTGAGCCGGGCTCACAGCACTGAGGACGCCCCCTTTTCTGGCGGTCTCTCAGAGGCAAAAGCAGAGTCCCCTTCTCTCTCGGGCTGAAAGCCAGACTGAATTACCTCATTTTTGCGGCGCCGGAGAAAAGGGAGCGGCACCACCCCTAAGTTCACGGGTGGATTGCAGGGGATCCGAAGCGGGGAGCTTATACCTCGAGGGAGCGGGAGGACCGGGGTCCGCCCGCAACGGCGCCCCCAGCCCTGCAGTGCAGCTCCGAGGAAGCCCGCCCCAGGAATTGCGCCCGTTGCAGCGTCAAGGGCATCCCCATATCGCCTCGGGAGCCGTACCTTGGCGGGTAGAGGCGCCGCT